TCTATCTATCTATCTATCTATCTATCTATCTATCTATCTATCTATCTGTCTGTCTGTCTATATGTCCGTCCGTCCGTCCGTCATTATCAGTATTTTATTTTTATGATTACAAGTAATTTTATGATGTAAGTCGTACAATCATTACAAGACTCAATGAGACTAACCATTATGATGGTTGAATGAAAAAGTATTTAAAATTATGTTTTTATTTGCACTTAGCTCCACCCTGCACGAATCCTGCCTATGTCCGTAAGTAACTACTTGTAATTTGTTTCATTGCATCTAACATAATATCACTTCCTATTACTGGTTCAACTTATGACTAAATATACAGACCAATTTAAAACGTCCTTGTGTCTTGTTTATTGATTTACCTCAACTTGAATATTTTAGAGGCCTGGACACAGTGGCTTGACAGAGACAACCCCTCTGGAACTGGAGACTGGGAGTTGCTCACCATACTTCAAGATGAGAAACCTGGACAAATCTGCAGCATCCCCAGAGATGTTGAAGCAGTGACTCTGTCTGGTCAGAGTGTGGCTCAAGCTGGAGAAAACATTTTTACGTAAGTGCTGTTCTGTTAGCAGGAAAAGTTAGGATGCATTTCCTGCTGTGATTCTAGTGCAAAATACAAGAATAAAATTAAACCTAAGCCTCTACGTATATCTGAAACCGTTTTTACTTCACTCTAATATAAAATGATCATGAGCACTATACAAATGATAAAAATAATATATGAAGACGAAATGAACATCTGTGTAAATAGATGCAGCTGAAAAATCTACATAATTTATAAGGACATTTAAAATACCCAGAGTTGACTGAAACAATGTACGTGAAACCCATAGAACAAAAACAACAACAAAAAAATCATACATTTCTCCAGAACCAAATATTAAAATTAATTTTGTACAAAATAATGTTTTTTTAAGTGAATATAAAAAGTAGAAACTACTAAAATAAAATTAAAAATATGTAATTAGTTCATAAAGTAAGTTAAAAAAATAAATGTCTTATTTCTATTCTGCATGAATGAGAAATTAGTCTCTTTTTGCATTTTGTTGCCTTAGAATATTGCAAGATGTCATCAAATTGCATTTTAAAGAAGCATTTAATTGCTTTTTAAACATAAAAATGTAAACTTTTTCTTGTAATAGCTGCAGCTTAGATATTTTGTGTCCTGCTACACATTTTCCAAATGATCCTGTTTGCGATTATCAATTTATTTACAATTCTTGAGTCATTGAACATGAATAAAAGTGCAAACTCCTATATAACAGCATTTGTAAACATTTTTGCATGTTTGTTTTCAGATATGATAAAACTTTAGGATTCGTCTGCAGAAACATGGATCAACCAGACAAACGGTGCAATGATTATAAAGTTCGCTTCAGCTGCTCTCCTGCTGCCTGTAAAAAAGGTAAAGTAGCTCCTGGCTCTATTCGTAAAATATACAACATAAAGTTACTAATTTAAAAATAGTTTCCTGGTTTCTTCCATTGTGTTAAAAAGCACTTATTTTGAAAAAAAAAATGTTACTACATCTCTATATTTTCCTTTGTTCCTGAAGTTTGTTGGACTAAGTGGTACGATCGAGACAATCCCTCTGCAACTGGCGACTGGGAGACTCTGAGTGACCTGAGAAATGAGTACCCCGGACAAATTTGTGCTGCACCTCTTTACATTGAGGCTGCTACCGTTGTTGGAGAGATCCCAGCCATCTTGACAGGAGATAACATCTATATGTAAGTTTTATAAAACATTAAAAGTAATTAAAATATGTCTTTAATATTTTTTTATATTTTCCACCCTGAACATCTGTTTAAGACGACGGAGAATTGGGGCCATGCTAAGAAAAAAAATTACATTACGAAGGAGAATAAAGTCATAGTATTACGAGAATAAACTTGTAATATTACCAGAAAAAAGTCATAATATTATCTGAACTCCAACACGACAAAGCAATCTTATAACTGCGGTAAAATAATGAATGTTGATGTCAGCAGTACATTACCAGGAGGTCCAACGCACTGTGGCATATAGATTCTTATGATAAAGTGAAGCTGTATGGCATTGCAAATAATGGCTGCATTGACGGGGTTAGTTGTGACATAATGTAGACAAAGGCAAATTTCACTAACAGTGAGCCAAGAGTGATCGCAGACTACTTCATAAACACAGTGACTCACACTGGAGGCTGAAAATAGCAGGTGCGCGCCGACCCAGGACGTATTACAAGTTTATTCTCGTTATTCTCATAATATTATGACTTAATTCTAATACAACTTTATTCTTGTAATAATTCTACTTTTTTCTCATACAACTTTATTCTCGTAATTTTTAAACTTTATTCTTGTAATATTTCTACTTTATTCTCGTACAGCTTTATTCTCATGATATTATGACTTTATTTTTGTATGACTTTATTCTTGTAATATTATGACTTTATCTCGTACGATTTTATTGTTGTAATATTTTGACTTTATTCTCATACAACTTTTTTCTTGTACAACTTTAATCTCGTAATATTTCGACTTTATTCTCATACAACTTTATTCTCGTAATATTATGACTTTATTCTCGTACGACTTTATTGTCGTAATATTTTGACTTTATTCTCATACACCTTTTTCTTGTACAACTTTATTCCCATAATATTTTGACTTTATTCTCATACGACTTTTTTCTCGTAATATTATGACTTTATTCTCGTACGACTTTATTCTCATATGAATTTATTCTCATTATAAATTGACTTTATTCTCACATGACTTTGTTCTCATTATATCTTGACTTTATTCTCGTACAACTTTATTCTCATAATATTATGACTTTATTCTTGTATCACTTTATTCTTGTAATATATGACTATTCTCGTACGACTCTATTCTCATAAGATTACAACTTTATTCTCATAATTGTATGACTCTTTTCTAGTAATGTAATATGTTTTTTTCTTATCCTGATGCATGCTCAATAATCCAGGTAGAAAAATCCAAAAAAGTTCAATCTGGTCCTCTGGACATTCAAGTTCATGTTTTTTCTTAGCGTGGTCCTAATACTCCGTTGTAGATTAAGCAGTTACTGAAAGATAAAGATAAGAAAAAAAAATTTAACCATTTTTTTATCTAGCCATAATACTGCAGTAATTTATACATTTCTTATAAAAAGAGAAACGTTTTAGAGAACTTGAGTGGTTTTTAAAACATTTTGAAATTTTGACCTGTATAAAATGTATACTGACTCACCGCTCGCTGTTATCTTTCAGCTACAGCCCCACTAAAGGGTTTGCTTGTCGCAACCAGGACCAGAAATCTGGCTACTGCAAGGACTACAAAGTTCGCTTTGGTTGTCCCTGTCTTTTCCTTCCTGTTGCAGCAGTTAATAAGAAGAAATGAATGATGTAGCTTGTATTATGAATTACATGATCTGATAAAACTCCTTACTGCCACTGTTTATTACTGGGGTTTCGTCAACTAAATGTGGAGTGGCACAATTTATTGTGTAGAACATATTTTTCTGCAATTAAAGCAATCATGAAAACTAAACTCATTTTCCCCTGTTTTGTCTGCTCAGAATATTAAATATATTCCTTAAATTGACAAATTGTGTAGAATACAGATACAGTTACATCTCTTAAATTTAGACACTAGATTTTATCTGCTTATTGAAACAATTTAGTTTCTTTTAAGTTTCAAAGTGCAAACTCATGCAGCAGCCAGAAGCACTGTTGGCTTCTGGGTAGTGTAGTTCTTTGACTGGCGTTACAGTATAGGCTTACTGAGAAAAAAAAAAAAAAACTACAAAATGGCAGCACCTGTCTAAAGTATTTTATTTTCTGTTAACTTTTTATTCCGTACCGTCCCAATCACGTGAGTAACATTAAAGAATGTGAAAGTGTGAGTCCGCAAAAGTCAAATTGCGAAGTAGCAAGGGACTTCTGTAT